ATTAATTATGTATGAGGTTTTTGAGGCCAGATATTGTGATATATCTGAAATGTTTTCAACTCGAAGGTAAAGTTTCAATATTAATAGCTGTTGTCATGTGTCACATTCATAATCCCTAAAGCATGCTAAAGCGGGCTGAATATATTTGAGGGCCCTCCAGAGGCAGGTTTTACTATTGTGTGAGCAAAATACTGACATGACCTTGGCCCTGGACCTCGGTTCTTGTCATCAAAATTTGTTCAAGACCTCGATCTGACTTGTGCTAACATAATACCGAGCTATATGGYTCTTACATGAWAATTTGTTACCTGTTCACTGCTCCTATCGGCCCCTGGCCTTCCATTAGCACCATCTTGACCTTTCTTTCCATTCCCTCCACTTGATACGATATCAACATAGCCAACAATYTTATCAGCGTACAATTCAACTGAGTACACAGAAAAGGAAAAAAATTAAACAGAAGACAGCCTCAATTTTGTAAAAATATTCAGAAGTTTAGATAAAACGTATTTCAAACTACTTCCTGCCCACCTATTGGACCGTCTACTCCGTGTTTGCCGTCATTCCCATCTGCACTATTTATTAAAGTGGGATAAGTGGACGGTATTTCAGGAGCTCTAAGATCCAGTTTACTCCCTTGAAAAAAAGTCACTTCACGACTGATCATCGTTAACTTCCTTACACCGCGCATTTTTATAGTTCCCTGTAAAAGAAATGAAAAAGGACAATCAGATCAGGTTTATGAGAAGAGACAAATGTGCAACAGCATCGTCATCTCTTCTCTGACATCGCTAATCTGTCATTTAATTTAATCTATTGCGATCTGCTATTTTTTTCGAAGATACAGAGTGTGTTTGGCTGGTCTGAATAGAGTTAATGTTTCGTGAAAGTGGCCTACCTTGACATAAACAGTATCAGCATAAATTAAATCTCAACCACAATATTATTAGGGCGTTCTTGTGAATCTTCAAAGTTAACTTCTTTTTTCTTTTCGAGGTACTCTCTAACAAAATGCATGTGAACGTCTCGACCAGTTACTTTGTAGCGRTCTGTATATTTTAAGTTCAAAATTTATCTGCTAAAGCAACAATTATTAGGCAGATGTCTGTGCAGATTTTGATGTATTTTTTTTATTCATAACGGCATCCATGTTACCATGACAACCAGTTTTTGACACACAGGTTTTCAAAAATGTAAAATATGCTTAATTTTTCATTTTTGAAGCTTATTTCTTGTTTTATTATGCGTCTTTTACCTACTTGAGCTTGCACCCATTGCTGACTCTACAATACTATAATACTTTTTCGACAACAAAAACTTTKGGGGGAGGGGTGGGTAGTTTTCAGTTATTTTTTCACATGGGAGAATATTTCATTAAAATCATCAGTAGAAACTCATTTTTTTATTCATTAAATGTTAGTTTGAGAAGTTTGAGCTGTTTGCCTTAATGCTTAGGTTTTTTGATTGGATTTAAAGAAATTCAAGATRGCGGTCCAAGATGGCGGATCCAAAGATGGCGGATATTCTTTTCAAAATTGATTGCTCTAAATTGTTTAACCCCAAAAACTCATCAAATTGTAAAGTTTACAATAAAATACCGATGTAGACAAAAAAAGTGAGATTTGGAGTCAAATTATTCAAAGACGACAAAGAGACTATAGGCCAAAAGTTGTCATCACAATTATGACGTCACAACTGTTACCATGGATACAAAACGAACCACAACATTACAGGAGAGCAGTAACGCCTAAATATGATATTTAACTGGTTGTATAGGTATAGATATATAATTTAGAAAAATTTCCTGATATCTATGACGTCATTGTGACGTCATGTAGAACAGGATTAAAAAAGTATTATTTTCAATTCATTTCAATAATAAGATGATATTATATAAATCGTTAAAATGGTGTAGATGACGTCAATATGACGTCACATTTGATTCCCACGTGTCAAGACTAGGTGTGGTGCTTCGTTTTACGTGGGCGACAATTGTGTGAAAATTTCATGCTCAAATATTTTTTTGTTTCCGAAGATATTGATGGGGCCGATTGAGACGCGACGCGATTTKCGAGATCTTATTTGTGCATATAAATGATTTTTTTTCGCAGTTTCCTTTTTTCTTGATAAWAAACGCCGAAATTACTGATCAAAAAAGATGACTTTGGAGACCTTCCTTGCAGACAGGACAATGATGAGAATGGACAGCACAAAAGCGAGCCTAAGAATTAAGACTCCCCTATTATAAACATTCCATTACCTGAAAGAACACATCCATAAAACTCAACCCTCATCTCTATGTTATTATTCCATTCTGTCGGATTTATTTGCACATATCTCGCTGTAAATGGTCCAATGTTGTGCTTTTGTACGGTGTTGCGGTCGTTGTTTCCTTCAAAGACCTGTAATTCAATCAGTGATGATTTGAAAGCTTAGCGGCGTTAACTGAAAACTCATTTTAATCTTAACCCYATTCAGACTGGTCGGGAGGGGGCTTTTGAGCCCCCCACCCCTCGCGTAAAAAGCCAATAACTTTCGAACCAAGACAGYTAGAGCTCTGAAACTTTTCCTAAAATTTATCTGGGCAGATTTTGGTGTAAATGTTTTGTTGATAACGTCATCCATGTCG